CAGAGCAAGGGAGAGGCTAGCACTGAAGGTCTGAGAAATCTGACTCTGACTAGAGGCGGGTTTAGAGAGGGAGAGGTGCTGGAGGAGGCCGATAAGCAGCGATACCTCCCAAGTCAGCCCATGGGGCCACGCTGTTGTCCTGGCCTGGGCCTGTCCTTTGTTGCTTTCAGAGCTGACACCCTCTGCCAGGAAGACAGGAAATGCAGTCTGGGCCAGTGCTCCTGCCAGGCCCCACTCCTCCTCCACACCCCACAGAGGAGAGCCCTGGTCCCCACCAACCTAGCCAGGCCCAATGCTTGCCCTGGAACAGAACTGTGCCCTGCAGATGGGAACTGAGACCCAGAGAGAGGGTAGCACTGCCCAAGCCTAGAGAATCCTCAGCCCCATTGCCAGGCTGTGCCAACCCTCTCAGACCTGCAATGAGTGCACCATGCTCATCCTTACCCCTTCCATCCGAGTTTGTTGTGCTAACATGAGCCAGAAGGGCCAGGAGATTCATCAAGTCCTGGGCCGGTGAGCACCAGTGACAGACAGAACCTACTTCTGAGGGCTTGGGGTCTCCACTGCAGGGGCTCCAATCCTGAGGGGCTGGAGAGGGAGTGAGGGCTGAGCCTTGGAGTAGGCAGGATGGAGCTGGGGCCCACTCTGGACTGATTTGCCCCAGTCCCTGAATCAGCTTTGGCCAAGGTGGGGCAGCCGAGGACTGGCCCGGCAAATGCATGAGGTCAACGCAGAGTCCTGGTCCCATAAGAAGTTTGACAGTCCCTTCTCTGTATTCCTGGTCCTGGAAGGGCCTGGCACTTAGGGAAGCCCTGCCAGGGTCCTCCCTACCAGGCCAGGCTGAGAGTGGTGTTGGATAGCCCTGCCAAGCCATCAATGGTCCCCCTGTCCGAGGGAGTGGCCCCTCTTTTCTTGTGATTGTGTCCCAAAGCGTACAGGCCTAACTGGAGCAGCCCACATGCTCCCTTCCCTCTTGAGCCCTTAACATATCTTCTAGACTCTGATCTCCATGCACACTGCAGGCTTGGGGGCGAGGAGAGGATTCACTCCATAAGCCTTCCTGGGAAGCTTCCTAAAAGCCCAAAGCCCCCTGCAGCCAGTTCCAGGCTCCAGCTCACACAGCCTGAGGGACTCAGTGGGACCCTGTCACCCCTCTTGCCCTAGCATATTCCCCACCCCAGTGATGTATGAGCAGCCCGCCCCAGGGACGGCTGCCTCCATCCTGTGGCCACTTCTGCCCTCACTGCCCTCCGCAGCCCTAAGCTCATCAGTAGATGGGACCAAGCCCAGGAGCTCTGTCTGGCTCCAAGGTGGAGTTTACTGCATTTCAAGCCCTCCTTGCTGTCCTCAAGGGGTGGGAATCAGAAGAGGGCAAGAGAGGGGGGCAGACAGCAAAGCCCCACAGAAACAGGAGATAGCTAGGGCTGGGGAGCTCGGTCCCCTGGGGACAGAAGAGATGCTTTTGACCTGGGCGGGGGGGTTGCAGCTTAGACTGACAGTGTCTGAGGGACAGAGGCCCAAAGATATGAAGAGGTGGCCCCAGCAGGGAATGAGCCAATGCCAGTCTACCTGGGAGGGGTCAGGGCACCTCAAGCAAAGGCTGGAACACTGAGCATGAGCCACAGGCCCTGTGGAGTTGTTAGAGGGCCCTGAAGCCAGGCTCGGGTCTGATGCTTTAGGATAGCATAGGGAAGCTGTCAGCGGTGCCATGGCCCCAACCCCAGCTTCCTTTCTTCCTTTCTGTTAATCCCCCGTCCTCTTTGGAAAAAAACCAGACATCATCGCTGCCTCCTGTCTGAGCCAGAAAAAATTCCAACTTCGCCCAGGCTCAGCCATGGTGTCACTGGTGATGTCAAGAGGAGGGACAGCCCCTAGGCTGAGCCATGCTGAGCCACGCCCAGCCCTTGAGGATGCCAGGCCCAGGTGAGGCGGCACAGGTGTGCACTCACCTGGATCCCAGCTATTCATAGACCCCATCATCCTTCTCCCCACCAGCCAAAGTGGCTTCTCATCCAGGATGCTGAAGGTGGCTGTCACCCAGAGCCTGTCACACACAGCACCTTTAGGCCTCAGAGAGCCAAAGAACAGTCAGTCTGTGCAGGCTCAGAAGCACTGCAGAAACTGCAAACTCAGGTGCCTGGGGGATGGAGTAGGTGATATAAGTAGGTGAAGACATCGGGAGTGAAGGAGTGAGAGGCACCTCTGCTAGGAACCAGTCAGTTGTCATAGGTGGGACTGTGGGTCCAGCATACAAGTCTGCCCATTCTCAATAAAGGCTGAAAATTTTGAGTTTCATGAACATTGAATTTTTACATGTTAGAGGTAGGTGTGGTGGGTGATCTAGGAGGACTGCAGTAAATTCAAGGCCAGCCTGGGCTACATAGTGAGACCCTGTCTCCAAAAAAATTGCTGGAAATGAATTTTAGAATAAAAGTGAACACTCAATGAGCCGTAAACATATCCACAGCCTAGATGAGACCTCTGGGCTTCGGTTCACAATTTCCAGTTTCCACTGTGTGGATGAGAGAGAACACTGAAGCTGGAAGCTCTGAGAGGGCCTGAGACTTTCCCAGGTCACACAGAAGGGCAGGACAGGTCCGTGGGCCCACCCGCCTGCACCCTTGACATGGGCCTCTCTACAAGGCTACTGTGGCAGTGGTGATTTCTGAGCATCTGGGGACAGGAAGTCAAGGTACAGGGTGACAAAGGCCTGCTAGGGTGACCGAGGCCAGGGTGGCCACCTTCCCATCTCATTGTGGCCTGGCCGTGCAAGGGACTTTGGACTGAGTCATCAGTAACCGTGTGAGCACAGGGAGGCATTTGTGTGTTTGTTTTTTTCTTTGAGCCTCAGTTTACTTATCGGTAAAGTGAGTAATACAGAGTTGTTCATATTTTGAAGAATGGGCTTATGAGGGGCTTGGACTTACTCGGGGCTCAGAGAATGAACAGATGAACAGATGAAGAATGAATGAATGACAAATACGTATTGCCCTGCCCAGGCTGGCTGAAGGTTTCAAGCAAACTGATTTTGAGTGAATAATGATGTGCTGCCATTCACTCAGCGTCCTTCACCCTGTGGATGGGGTCCTGTGGGGTGTGTGTGTTCTGCAGTACTAGGGATTGAACCCAGGGGCTTCACACGGAACTACTTCCTCAGCCCTTTTAATTTTTATTTTGAGTCCGTGTCTCACTGAATCACTAAGTTGCCCAGGCTGGGCTCAAACTTATAGTCATCCTGCCTCACCTTCCCAGAGTGTTGGAGTTATAAGTGTGTAGCACCGTGTCTGGACTATGGGCGCTTTAGGGGTGGGTTTTCGCCAGTTCTCACCCAAGGATCCCTTAATGACATAGTAACACCACCCGCACACCAACAGGCAGGTGACATTTGGTGGCATCCTCATCTGAAAGGATCCCCGGCACCATGCACACAGCCTGTAAGGTCTCCTGGGCGAGGCTGTGTCCCCATCTGATAGAGGGGAAGATGGTGAGGTGGGGGGCAGCTCACGGCCACACAGAGAGCCAGCGTCCTGGGTGGCCCTTTCTGCTCCATAGAAGGAAGGTGTCAGACAGACCCCCTTTTCCCACCCCAACCAAGGCAGCAATCTTCACCTGGTTTCCAAAGCTCCTCTGTGTCGGATGGACGGGTCCTTCCAAGATTAGGTTACAAAGAAGCTGTGATTCCTGCCCTGGGTTCTCTGTGTCTTTCTCCATCTCTCTGTCTCTGTGTCTCTGTCACACGTGTGCAGCACCTGTTACTGGGACATAAGGACCGCTGGCAGCCGATGGGTAGCCCTTAAGAGGAATCGAGGTCTTCCTGTAACTGCATGAGTGATCCTGGGTGTGGATCTCTCAGGTGATCACCACTCCTGCTCCCAGCTGGACTGCAGCTTCCGGAGAGCTGGCCCCTGCCTGGTGCCAACCTGCAGCCCCTGCGAGACAGATAATCCACGCTTGCTGTTTTAAGCCACCAGCAGTTGGCTCATTTGCTGTGCAGCCATAGACCCCTGATGGGTAAAGCGTCCCAGCCCAGCCACACTTGGGCTCTACACTAAGACGTCACCCCGAGTGTCGGGAGGACCCTGCAGAAGGGAGGTGGTCTTCCTGTCTTATCAGCGGAGGAGTGGAAGCCCAGAGAGGGTAAGCGATTTGCCTGAGGTCACACGGGGAGGAAGGGGAGTGTGGGATTCTTCACACCTTGCCTTGGCTGTGCGTGTTCCTGCAGGAGCTGGTGGGCTCCGTGGCTACTCTGAGATGGGGTGTGTCAGACACTGTCAGCACACAGCCTTTTGCAGTCACGCCGATCCGTCATCCTGTCTAGTCCTGGTGAGAACAGTGCAAGGGAGGGACTTCAGCCCCACGCGATGGGTCCCGGGGGGCCAAATGGGCAGGAACCCAGGCCTGCCTCACTCCGAAGCCTGCACTCTCCCCCACAGGCTGGCCCTTCTTGCCCCAGTCTACCATTGGCTCCAGCCCTGTAGCGGTGGCCTCCAGCAGCCTAGCAGAGCAGCACGGAAACCCACAACCCTGGCTGTTTACACGGTTCCCACCCAGAGTCAACAAGAAAAGGAGGGGCCAGCGGGACCCATGAGGTTCCTTCCCAAGCAGCCCAGATTGGCCCCATCCCCGCCTTCATTTGCTATTTACTAGTTTGCCCTGGCTTTTCTCAGTGCCTTGGTATCCTAACGAAAGGATCCC